TACTGTAAGGTCAAATTCTCAAGATTATACTAGAATTCAATTCAATGTATTGGAATATATAGACCCTCATATCTACAGATTAAGTTTCAAGCTTAAACTTATATACTTGACCTTTCCTAAAGATACCTTTCCTATTCTAAACATACCTGACCTTTCCTAAACATTCCTTTCCTTTTCTAAAAATACCTGACCTTTCCTAAACATACTTGACCTTTCCTAAACATACCCGACCTTTCCTAAACATATTTGACCCTCTTAATCATATCTGACTTTCCTAAACATACCTAACCTTCCTAAACATACCTGCCCTTTCCTAAACATACCTGGCATTTCCTGAACGTACCTGACCTTTCCTTAACATACACTACCTTTCCTAAACATACCTGTCCTTTCCTTAACATACCTGACCTTTCCAAAACATACCTGCTCTTTCCTAAACATACCTGACCTTTCCAAAACATACTTGACCTTTTCTATACATACCCGACCTTTCCTACACATACCCAACCTTTCCTAAACATGCCTGCCCTTTCCTAAACATACCTGTCCTTTCCTACACATACCTGACCTTTCCAAAACATACCTGCCCTTTCCTAAACATACCTGACCTTTCCAAAACATACCTAACCTTTCCAAAACATACACGACATTTCCTAAACATACCCGACCTTTCCTAAACATACCTGTCATTTCCTAAACATACCTGTCCATACCTGACCTTTCCAAAACACACCTGCCCTTTCCTAAACATACCTGACCTTTCCTAAACATGCCCTACCTTTCCTACACATACCCAACCTTTCCAAAACATACAAGACCTTTCCTGAACATACCTGACCTTTCCAAAACATACCTGCCCTTTCCTGAACATACCTGACCTTTCCAAAACATACTTGACCTTTCCTAAACATACCCGACCTTTCCTAAACATACCCTACCTTTCCTACACATACCCAACCTTTCCTAAACAAACCTGCCCTTTCCTAAACATACCTGTCCTTTCCAAAACATACCTGACCTTTCCAAACCATACCTGCCCTTTCCTAAACATACCTGACCTTTCCAAAACATACTTGACCTTTCCTCAACATACCCGACCTTTCCTAAACATACCCTACCTTTTCTACACATACCCAACCTTTCCTAAACATACCTGCCCTTTCCTAAACATACCATGTCCTTTAGTACACATACCTGACCTTTCCAAAACATACCTGTCCTTTCCTAAAAATACCTGACCTTTCCAAAACATACCTAACCTTTCCAAAACATACACGACATTTCCTAAACATACCCGACCTTTCCTAAACATACCTTTTATTTCCTAAACATACCTGTCCTTTCCTAAACATACGTGACCTTTCCAAAACATACCTGACCTTTCCAAAACACACCCGACCGTTCCTTAACATAGCCGATCATTTTTAAACTTTCCCGACCTTTCCTAAACATACCTAAAGTTTCTTTAACAAGATACAAGTTAATCTTTTCCCCTTAGTTTTCATCCTTATTTACATATACTTCTAAGGTTTTGCACTGTTAAAAGAATCGTTTTCAGAAAAAAATTAATAAAACTTCTAAGTTTTCAAACCTGTATTATCTTAAAGTATGCATTTATCAAACTTTTCAATATCTTCTGCCAGGTTTAAAATAGTTTTCAATATCTTCTGCCAGGTTTAAAATAGTTTTCAATATCTTCTGCCAGGTTTAAAAAAGTTTTCAATTTGTTCTGCCAGGTTAAAAATAGTTTTCAATATTTTCTGCCAGGTTTAAAATAGTTTTCAATATCTTCTGCCAGGTTTAAAATAGTTTTCAATATCGCCAAGTTTAAAATAGTTTTCAATATCTTCTGCGAGGTTTAAAATAGCTTTCAATATCTTCTGCCAGGTTTAAAATAGTTTTCAATATCTTCTGCCAGGTTTAAAATAGCTTTCAATATCTTCTGCCAGGTTTTAAATAGTTTTTAATATCTTCTGCCAGGTTTAAAATAGCTTTCAATATCTTCTGCCAGGTTTTAAATAGTTTTCAATATCTTCTGCCAGGTTTTAAATAGTTATCAATATCGCCAGGTTTAAAATAGCTTTAAATATCTTCTACCAGGTTTAAAATTGTGTAAGAAAACATACGTTTAGAATAAACAATTTTAAAAATGTGCTTTTTTCAGGCTATGCTAACGTTTGAAAGAAAATATAGACAAATAACGACCCAAAAACGAATGCCATACTGTTTAAAAGTTAGAATATAAGGGAAAAAACGAGCCAAAAAACGATATTGGTTTGGTCTGGTTTTGCATACAGCCTTCTTAAGTTTGGCGCAATAGCGTTAGGAAGAAAATTTTTGTGGAACCTTTAAAAAGTCGAACCCCGTTCGCAGCTTTAATCGAATTCAGCCAATGAAGGAACAGTTTTCTTTTTCACATTTTTCTAAATTCTTGAAAAATCATATCATTAATTATAAAAAAGACAATTGTAAACTTTTATTTTCTTACAGTGGAAGGCAATTTTATCAATACAATGAAGAAGACTTTTTTAGTTAAGTTTTGAACATGTTAACAAGCTTTTTTCGAATTAGAAATTGACAGTTTCTTTTGACTTCATTTACGTTAATATGTGTATCTATGCTGTTTGACACATGCAGCGTGACATAAATAAAGTCGTCTTCATATTGATATAACCGCTTACCACTGTAGATATTTTTTTTCGCTGTTGGCTACAATGTTAAAAGTTCAAATTCAGAATTCAAAACTGGAGAACAAATAGAAAAATTTGTTTGATAATTTGCTCTTTTCAATGCATGTGAGATGCGATGCGTGACTTGCATGCAGTTTCAGCCTCCAGGTTCTACAGGTTCTCCATGTTCTCTAGACTCACCTCAAGAAATATAATAGTTAAGTATCTTATTTTGTTAAAAATGGAGTGTTTGTAAAAATTGTTCTGTAAGAGGCTAATCACGATTTGAATTCGGGTTTGATCGCTACTAATGTTACTTAATTCTATCTGTTGCTTCTTTGAGGAATAAATGGTTAAAAACGCAATACACCCAAGTGCAAGTCAACTATAGAAGTCAGCAGAATCGTACACATGGGCCAGGAGCCCCCCCCCCCCCAGATAAGTAAAATCTATGGTTTCCAGACCACAACTGGTGCTAAGCCCCCCCCCCCTGGAAAGATTGAAAGTAAATTTATTAATGAATATATTATTTTCACTTGCTGTATGTTATAGAATTAAAAAGATAAATGCATAATTTACGGGGAGAAGCCATAAATCTGTGGCTTAGAAAGACGACCTTGAACCAATATAAACAATGTACAGGGTGTCCCACGAATCATGACAGCAGCAAGACGAATTGAAAGTCATTTTTGAACTTTTAATTTATTTTTGACATTCAGCGTCAACCTACTTTAATATCTATGATTCTTGAAACACACAACCACAAAATTCTCCTAGTCCTTGCATTTCAAAAATGTAGTCTGCATTTTAAGTGCTGTTAATATTACCTGAGATGTTAAGAATTTCGTTCAAATTTCCATTTTATTAAATAAAACCAAAATTGTCGAAATATGAACGAAAATTCTTTATATCTCCGGTTTTATTGAAAGCGACAGACCGGCTATGTAAGGTAGTTAAACTGAGCATGCAGTGCTGTGGACAAATTCTTTAGGATTATTTTGAGCTGACATATAACACTTTTCCACGATGTAAAATTTCAGAGTTTGAGTGCATAGTCGACGTTCAAAATCATGAATTTGGCTGGATACTTTTTCAAACTAGGTTTTTTAAAATCATTAAATAAAGACGACAAGAAATAAATTAAAAAGTTTGCAGTAATCTAATTAAATGGTTAGGAACAACATATTTCATAAAAGAAATTTGTCAATAATCAATGCTAGAATCAATTATTTCGTTTTCATCATTTTATTAACTTTCTTATTTTCTATTAATTTATTTGCAGATTTCTACAAATTCTTCCAATGTCGTCTTTTCAATAAATATTCCAAAAAATCTTTGTGAATAATGAGAAACCAGAATAATAAGGAAATAGAAACTAATAACTGAACAAGGGTACTTTTTTACGATGATAAGATAAATTTTTATTTTCTTAACCTGTTTCTAAACAACTACTTAGTTTAGTGTATAATTTTATTAAAATTTTTTGTCGTCGTTATTTAATAATCAAAAAAAAAAAATTCTGAAAACATATCCACCCAAATACGATTTAAAATTCGACTTTGCACTCAAAACTCAGAATTTCATACTTTGGATTTAGAAGCAGTCTTCCTCTTCCACAGTTTTTAGATATTTGCACAGCCCGAATCGTCCCAAATTAACGGCCGGGCGCATTTAAGACGTACTTTGTATGTCTCCTTTCTCTATGGTGTTTGTCCGCCAGATGTTGCCCAAAGTATAGTTGTCTAGTCTTTCTATTTGTTTTTGCCGAGAGGGGTCGTTTCATGTAACGTTACATCATCTTTAAGCAACATCCCCCTTACTGAACTTCTAACCTACGCCAGCTGCTTATTCTTGTATCAATTGAGGGAATTAGGTTAGTATAGGAGTATCTTAGACGAGCACTGCGGCTGCATGGATGTCGAAGATATTAACTTAATTAGCCCCATAAAAAATGTTTTACAAGGGACTGAATGTACTGAATTTGGGCTCTGTCGTTGAACTACCTCCAAAGGTTCAAATCTTAATTTACCGATCCACAGTTGAAGATTTATTAGGACTTGATTGAAACAGGATTTGAACCGGCGAGAAGGTAGTTTCAGCGACCTCTCCAAAGTCCAACTCCGTAAATTCGTTCCAAGAAAGTTCAAAAACAATCAAAAATAAAATTAACACCCTTTACATTTCTAAGTTTTAAATGGCGAAATCTGCGAAATGTTTCGTTATTATTATGTGCGCCAGGTTTGCAGAAAGATCTGCACAACATAAACCGAACAAATCTACTTTTGTCTAAATATCTGCACTTGTACATCTCTGTTAATATTAATTAGTCAATTTAAAATTAAATGCTTCACTTTATTATCAAAAAGCAATGATGATTCAGTTTTACACGTGTTAAATAGTAGAGGAGATCCTAGTTCATGTTGATTAGATGTTCACCTACAGAATAATATTCGTTCACGAGCAGGAACTTAGCTCCAATTTTGTCGGGTCTTATTCAAAATGAAAATGTACAAAAAAAGTCATTTAACTTATGATCTATGAAATTTTCGGATGAACTTATATCCGGTTAAATATGAGATAAAACCGAAGAAATCACCACAATTTCCGCAAAAATCTTCGATTTGGTCGAAACCCCGGATTTTAAAGCGGTAAACTGGGGCATTTTTCGGTTGATAGCGCGATGATTTTTCAAACTGATTGCCAGGAGGGAGGGCCGAGGAAGGCGTGTCTAATCCCCTCCTGCAGGGATCGGGGGCGGGGGAACGCCCATGTCGTCCTTCAGTCGTTTAGGTTCAGACTCGTGGGACTCCTCTTCCAGAGGGCGTTTATCGCAGGAAGGTTTTACAGTCTCCTAAACACACAAAATAAATAATAACCATCAAACCATTAATATTGAGACCTAAAAGGTTATTCTCTGATTTATCAAAGAAAAAAGTTGCACGGAACCAATAATTTAGGAAGATTAAGGATTAATTATATTGACAGGCGTATTCTCCTTTATATTTTGGGGTATGTTGGAATAATTTACTGAATATAAAATGATAACTGACCTCTTTGGTTGAATCTCCATTTGCTTCCACGCCGTTATGGGCGGATCCATTTTCAACTGGAGACGACGTTCCATTCTCGGCCGGGGTAGCAGTGCCGTTTTCAACGGGCGCTGGTGCACTCTTCTCAACGGGTGCCGGTGTACTTTTTTCAACAGGCGCTGGAGTAATTTTCTCGGCGGGCACCGCTGTTTCAGTCTCAGTCAATACCGCCGAGTTTATCTCTGCTTCCTCGGAACCGTTCTTGGTTGATTCAGTTGAACCATTGACGGGTTTCTCATCTGTAACATTGTTTTCTGTTTCCTTAGATCCATTCTCTGAAGAAGTATGGGCTTCCGAAGCTCCATTTAGTTCTGCAGAAGCTTCATTTGATTCTGTGGAAGCTCCATTTTTCTGATTTTCTTGTCCATTCTGCTCGAGTACACTGTCGCATGAATCCTCATCTTGTTTCTCTGAACCCGAACTTTCCCCCTCCTTCTCTCCGTTCACCTTCTCCTCCTCCTCATTTTCTCCGTTGACGGGAGACCCGCTATACTTGTTCGGGGATTTATTAGCGTCCACACCTGGCATATCATCCAGAAGCTCGGGTTTAATATCGCGGGCTATATAGTGGGTCCAGATAGCAAGCTCAACAGTGTGAGGAGTCCAGGTGCCTCCTAAACAACATCAACATCAACATCAACATCAACATCAACATCAACATCAACATCAACATCAACATCAACATCAACATCAACATCAACATCAACATCAACATTAACATCAACATCAACATCAACATCAATATCAACATCAACATCAACATCAACATCAACATCAACATTAACATCAACATCAAAATCAACATCTTTTCACATCAACATCAACACCTTTTAATCAAGGAAGGAAGTTAAATATATCAATACAAAAATCTGGGGCTTTTTAGTTTAATATTTATTGAAATAATAAATTAAAATAGTCAGGGAAAAAAAAATTGTTGGGAACAGGGAGGGGACATTTTTGTTGAAGAAAACTTGAAAACTTGGAGAAATCAATCAATTAAGTAAAAGCCAACCTTGAGAATTCAATCTCTCGACACACTCCTTTGTTTTCTCAACCAGCTTTATATATTCCTTCATGGTGTAATCAATCCCTTCAATATCAGGCATAGACAGTAAACATTCATCAGCCATAAACGGAGCAATTTCAGGGGCACCAGCAGCCAGAACAGCTGAAAATAGTTCAGAATTTTAACAAAAGATGGCAGTATGTTTTATCAGAGAAAACACTTTTAGTTCAATTCAATCTTGAGAATTGAAAAACACACTGATATCATTGACATTAAAAATTAAAGCTCCGGAAAAAAACCATTAATTTGAAAATTAACTTTTCTACATTAAAGATGCAAGATGCAGCTAATAATAGTTAGTAACAGACAGAATATGAAAAGCAGGGAATAAAGAAAAAAAAACTAAAGTGTTAACTGGTAAGCTAAGCAGGGGAAGAAAATTAATAAATTAATCTATAAAAGAAAAAGAGTATTATAGTCCAATGATTAAAAAGTGAATAAAAAGAAAAACAAATTGCAAGATATGAAATTAACATCTAAATGTTCGAAAGCTGAAATTTGTTCAATTTTTTGCCCCCTTTTCCTACTCAACTGTAGCTTTTAAAAGTAAATTTTAAAAATATTCTCCTGAAAATGTCAAGATTTTTAATAGCCATCAACATGGAATCAGTGTCGTAATATTAAAGTTACGCAACAAGAATTTTTTTTTCCCCCCCCACCCCCCTGGAGCCCAAAGGGGCCCCCCCCAACCCGCCCAAGTAAAAAACTACTTGCGTGCAAACTAAAAATGGGAACATTAGCACGTACAAAAAAATAAGAATCAACACTAAATAAGAAGTTTAGTTGGGTATATATTTCAGATTATGTAAAATTTGCGTAGCAGCTGTAGGAATATATCTGAAATATGTACGCAAAGAACCATGCTAACTGTGACGCCAAAAGCAGGGCTATAAACCTGACGCAAGTGTGGTTCCCACCCCCTTGAGACTGCAGAGGGTACTAATAGCGGATTCCAGGTTGGGCAGCTTCTTAAAAGCCTTCTTAGACTCAGTTTGCACCGCCCGCGGGGTATTAATGCGCACCAAGTTCGTCAACTGGGGATAAAATTTCCCCCTCTAAAAAAGAGAAAAAAACATGAAAATTTGGCCCAGAATCCCCGAAAACATTCCCGACTGATGTTGGCCTGTTCAGACTGGTCCTGTGGTTACCTGAGGCCATGGCAGGGCCGACACCCTTCAAGTTGCTAAGGGCAGCTACGGCAGACTCAATATCCTTCTTCTTGAAGAGATTCCTAAACGCTTTCTTAGTTTCCTGCATAACTACCCTAGGTGTGTTCATCTGGACAAGATCCTTCAATCTGGGGCGGAAAATGCCTCTCTACCAAATAAAAATAAAATAAAACAAAAATAATGGGTCCGCAACTAGAACACCCAATCCAAGGCTGGTTAAAATAACCTGAAACTTGTTAGGGTAAAAATTTAAACGAAAAAAATAAGTAATTTTAATAAAAGACATAAAATTGTATCAGTTATCTTTCATATTTTAAACTGCATAAAATCTTGTTTATCATTTAAAATCAGTAAAATCCACAGAATAATTTGAGTAACTGTAAATTTATATTTTTCTTACCGCTAGTTTCCATTTGATGGTCATAACTATCTCGTCGTGTGTGAGATATAGTTCCTTTCCTCGGGACTTCATCTTTTTAGGAAGCTCATTCTGATACCTAGACAACAACATTAATTCATATAAATTCCAAGGAAATACATCAAACCCACAAAGTAGATTTATTTCCCAGGGGTGTGTATTTTCTCGAAAATCATTGATTAAGAACAAATGTAAGGTTTTTTTCCGCTGAATTGGCGAAATATTCATTGCTTGGGATCCATTAAATTTTGATGCGGATCCTGGATCCGAATTGGAAAAAAATGGATCCGGATCGAGGTAATTTCTTTGCTAATTTACTGAATTTTTTAACAAAATTTATTTTTTCAAATTTTTTGTTTTATTTTTTTCGCTTATTTTCATCCTAAAACTTGATGAACTATTCAGAAATGAGGAAATCTCTATAATCTCTCCTTTTTCAAAAAAGTTCAGATTTTATGAATTAAAGTTTTTTTGCAGGTTTTGGTTGATATTTTACCCCTTGGATCCGCATATTTTTGCGGATCAGGATCCAGGAAGCCAAAATCTTGCGGATCCAAAGGATCCGGGTTCTAGGCACAGGCGAAAATTCAAGTTTTTTTTTTAGAGGAAATCAATATATTTTTGAGTAAAAATTATCAAAAGGACTAAAATAATGTGTTTTGAATTTTTACTTCCAATTTTTCATTTTTTAATTTTTTTTAAATCCGCACTACATCAAATTTTTTTACAGGAAATATTTTATTCGGATTGGTAATTCACTGTTGTATTTCAGGTAAAAAAAACCATAATTGGAAATAATCGGTTTTAAAAATTATTAACATTAATATCTAATTCATACGTGCTCAAACAGCTCTTTGAAGAGTACTGTGTGAATCAGTCAATTGACAAATATGCACGAAGAGACCCTTGAAATAAAGCTTGAGATTACGCTTGAAAACGTATCAAGCTCAACTAGCCAAAATTTAAACGTCAAGTTAAACTTTTCAGAATAAGTCATAAATGTTAAAATTCTCCGTAAATTCTTCTAGTGTTTAGCCCGTAGATAGATAGATAGATAAAATAAAGGATAGATAGATAGATAGGCCAATCCTGGAGACTGTGTTGTAACCTACCGGGACTTACAGTGTGAGTAAATAGTGAAATTAAATATTTCAACATTGACCCAGCCCGCCTCCTCCCCCCCCCCCTCCACACCTTGCTACACTATATAATATTCAATGCAACGTTTTATTTCGTCAGTTCTCTGCCAGAAAGCAGAGATCAAGTATCAAATTTAGCTTAACAAGGCATAATTTAAAGGCACTGTAGACTTAATTTCAAGGAACTTGCCAGTTTTAAGAAAGGCTTGTCCGATTCACACAATACCGATTAACCATTGATACTTTATCTGATCAAGCATGAATGTATTTCTCTTTTAAACATGGAATATTTCTATTTGTGGTTTCTTCCTTAGAATGACTTGTGGATTTATGCTCGAGAAACAAAGGGATTAAATTGTTTTGAAGGTTTACTTTGAGTGACAAAGGATGTTCAAAAATATATTTTTTTTTAAAGCATGAAAAACGATGATTACATTATTAATTATTAATCATAGTTATTTTTGTTAGCGTAAGCTTTTGCCAACAACCCTTAATTAAAATAAAATATTATTTTAAGTTAAAATTTTTCTAATCTTTATATTCTAAATCCTCCCATGTTCCATTATAAAGCGAACATTTACAAACCACAGGTTTTTATCTTAGACTTTTCCACAAATTTTAAATTAAAAAAAAAATAGAATTTACGAAAAGTTATATTTTTTCTGGATGAAAAGAATTAGAATTCAGAGTTCGATGATGTTAAATAAGTACTAACCCCCTATTTCCAATTACACCTGCCGTAGCATCTGCTTTCAGTTTCAACCCCCACCCTCCGATTTTTAGCCCACCTCTACAGGAAATACGGTATTTTTACCTGCCCCCACCCCACCCTACGTTTTCAGTTTTCGGGCTTAATGACATAAAAAAAATTTTAACAGATTTTCGATTGAGTAGGGTACCTTTAAAAGGTTTGTCTACTCTTGAACGAACAAAACTAAACTTTTCTCTTTGAAAATTTTTATCTCTGAAAAAGTGGATTTCTACTTCAGAGAGAATAAAATGTCATAAAAAATGTTCAGCTCGAAGAACGACGATATCTTGCATTAGTGATCTCACAACATTTTAATAGGTTGGGTACTTGAAATCCGGTGGGGGTGGGGAGGGCCAGGGGGTTCGATGGGATTTTTAGCGACAAAAATCTTTATATTTTCTCTAGATGAAGTCCTTTTTAAAAGTCATCCATCAATTTTGCACCCAAAGTCTTAAGAGTCATTTTCTTACATATTTGGATTTTTCTTCAAAATGCTGTTTTTACAATGCCCCCAGTCGAGTCCAATGTCCACATATTAAGTGAGGAGGCAAGGGGAAGGGGGCGAGGAGTCTTGCTAATAATAATAAAATGTATTATAATTTAATAAGTGGAAGCCTGATTTTACCTCAAAAAACGTAAAATGAATTCCCATGAAAACAAATGCATGTAAACAAAAACTTAAAAAGTTAAGAATTTTTCCAATTATTTATCTGAAAGACTTGTATTTTGTAATTTAGAGTCTTTTGAAGGTTTTTAAAATTGTCTTAACACATTTGTGGAAACTTTTTTATTTCTAAGGATTGAACGTTATCTTTCTATCTATCTATCTATCTCTCCTCCCCTCCACAGCGAGGATGGCTTAAGAGAAAATTTGAGAAGCGGGCCTCGGTGTCTCGAAACACTATCAATAATCATGCACACATCAGCTGTTATATTCATAAATGGTAGATAAATGGAACAGGAAGGATTGGGATTTTTTTTAAAGTTTAAAGGTGTGTTGTCGGGGCTGCTGGCAGGCAGGCTGCCTCCTAGCATACTCTGACGTCACAAACAAAGGATTTCCCTTTCCCGCCTCTCAATTTAAGGATGTGTGACTGGATTGCGGACTAGAGGATTGCATCACCAATGCCTGACAATTAGGCCGGTATGAGGAACCGGGTGAACCCGAAAAATCCGCAGAAATTGTCAAAAAAAAATCCGCAGAAAGCGCGATGTAGGAAACGGGCTGCTGTCGAGTACGCAGGGGGGGAGAAGGACGCGGTTTATTAAATATAAAGATTTACTTACCAATTATCCAGCTTTAGCAATGTCTCCGGCTTAGAACTTTTGTTGTGAGCTTTGGCTTTAATTGCTTCAGGATATTGTTTCAATACATACTCAAATTGAGCATTAGTTCCCGTTTCAAAAAAGACACAAGTTTTAGACGCCATGATTCTGAGTGAGGTTAGGCGTTCTACTGGAAATCCTGATGTGTGCGGGCTGTGTACCGGCACGGTACCGCTAGAGGAAGAGAGAGAGAGCGGGGGGCACGCACAAGGTTATTGGCCGCCCGGTTTAAACATCTTAAACATGACACAAGGGGGGAAGGGAGGCTGTATTTGGTCACCCTGTGCCTACACGTGGTTTAGAACATTACGAATCTGTTTGCAAGTAAAGTTAGAATGATAGAGTCAGTCAATGAAAGGATGCGTCTGAATGCGGAGGTCGGGGCGGGAGGGGAGAGCTGTGTAAGTGGAAGGGAGGAGGGGGAGGGCTAGGCAGGCTATACAGCCTGGCTGCAAGCTTGTTTTATATCCAGCTATACAAAGATATTTGTTATATCTACCATGTTTTGTATATCAAGAAGGTATATTTCGAATATACCATTATTTTTCCCGGATTCCTTGAAAAATTTCAAAGCCAACGAGATAAATATTTCTGATCTTAATTTCACTTTTTTGAACGTAAATACAGGTCTTAAATCTTGTTTATAAAAAAATGTCAATTTTCTTTCCATAAAATTTCGAAGGATGGTTTGTTTGTCTTAGAAAAAAACTCGTGGACAAACTAAACAACACGGGCCAATTTTAGAAATGAGATTAATAAAAACATGACTTTTTTCTTTCTATAACAAAAATTGTCGAAATTTAGCAAAAGAAAATTTTTCAACATGAAATAGATGGTAGCCAAAATCTTAAAGTTCGTGTGTTAACCTATAAATAGTATTCAAATACATATATATACGCAAAATATATTGCTAAATTTTAACTCGCATAAAAAAGTGTAAAGAATCATACCTGCAGAATTGGTTAAAATATATTCTAAAACGGTTTTGGGAAACATACTTTGATGAAACACCCGTTTTAAAAAAAATTGTATTTACTCTCAATTATAAATGTTCTACTGTTTCATTTTTATTACTAATTTATAAATCATTTATCCAAAGTAACTCTACTATCAATTTATAGTTTATAATGTTGAAATCGTTAATTGTAAATGTATATAAGACAATTCTGATGTTCAGGATATATATATCTAACAGTAACATTTGTATTTTATTTGATATTTGATCAGTAAATCTGACCAACAGTTTTTTATTACCAATTTAGTGATGCCAGTGGTAAAAATCATAATTTTCTAAGATTTTATATTTATAGACTAGCTTGGGAGCCCTGCAGCCATAGAGAATAGAATATATATTAGAGGGAAATTAACAAAAAAAAAGTGTTAAACGGCCATTTTGTTGTACTGTTTCCATACTGCAGGTGTACTTCACATATTTATGCTATTTAACCTTTTTGGCCCTGGAATATCATTTTATAGAAAATCTAAAATTAATATTAAAAGAAAACCAAATTATGAAATAGGCTAGTTTCATAATTGACCAATGATCATTTCACATAGACCATATACCTTTCACTCTACAAACGATGATTTTCCGTTATAACTATAAATCAAATGATGTTTTTATTCACCTAATTCATTATAAAGTTTATTTAACAGTTTAAAAAATTCGAAATGGAAATGAATAGTCTAGGGAACATACTGTATTAATGTACTCTACTGCATATAATTTGTGAACATTATATGATTTGTACACTTTGAACTCCCTTTCAGGCTGAAAGGGACTGAAAAAATTCATACCGAGAGATTCTTTAAATTCCCCTCTAATATTTATTCTATTCTCTATGCCTGCAGCTTTGCCAAGGTTATACTTATAGACACGCCGTTTACCCGCGCCTGGTCTAAAATTACGATTATAGCTATTTTTCCCTATAAAAGTCGACCCACTCAACTTAGAATCTTAAAACCAAGCTTATTAAGAAGATTCTCGTGGATCTCCCAAATTCATTAATTAAAATTTGAGGAAAATCGGTTCTGGGGTTCATAAGTTTTGATCTGAGAGACAAACAGAGATACTACTTTATACATATTGAAGATACATAAAACATGTAATTGTATTCTTTTTCACTCGAACAGAATCACACAAAAAATGCAACAAAATTTCGAAGTCTTAATAATATTAAATATTAAATGTTCACCACTATGAAGGGATATATATTATAGAATGTTTTAAATGAGAAGAGAAATATTATAGAATGTTTACAAGTATGGGATATTATAAAATGTTTACAAGTATGAAGGGATATATTATAGAATGTTTTTTTTTCTTATTTGGCCTTTCTGTTTTCTTTTTTTGGCTCTTTTTGTCCCAACAAAATAAACTAGATTAGAAATTTCAGTCTCCCCCTAACCCTGCTAGCAACAACACATCTCTGTGACTCTCTAGCCCGGTTTCTTTATCGAGCTGTAACTTGCTTTGACTCTGACTATTATTTGAGATCACAGCTACAAGGTTAGATTTCAGATCATAGTCAAAGCTCGTTCATAAGTCAAAATTTTGAGGTTGGATTTAGTATGATTTCAGATCTAGTCAAAGTACAAGTAATTTGTTTTATGAATCCAATCTCAGCTGCTCTGACTATGATTTGATGACAGCTGGCCTTCCTAACTGACAGCAAAAAATAAAATTGTGTGGGGCATTGATATTTTCTCGACCACTTTAAAAAGTCGTAAGTCGTCTTTGATTTTTGGCCTTAAAATTGTAAAATGATTGATAAATTAGATAGATGGATAGACTAATAAATACATAGATAGATAGATAGAGATAAAAGATGAAGAAGAAAAAGAGAATAACAGAAATAATCTTTAAAAGGAAATATCTTAGAAATATTTTTATTTTTCTGAACTATGCATCTTGGCATATTATTTCTGGTCTCTATTTTCATGTTTTGCAATTTTAGTAGTTTTAATGTCTGCTTATTTGTACCCAAAATCATGTGAAAACCTAAAAATGGCGAATAGTTTGTTCCCATTTGCTGTGATTTAGCTGTGAAGTCGAAGCTAAATCCAACCTCAGGTGTGATTTCCATCAGCTGATGTTCAGCTGATATTTAGCTCCGACTTCAGATCTAACCTAAGCTTCGATCTTGCTCTGATTTTGGACTAACGAATACAAAATCATAGCTAAGCTAGGAAGTCGCAGCTAAATCATAGCTAGAACCGGACAAAGAAACCGGGCTA